GGCTTCGGCATTTTGGGCGCATTCATAGTCGATCGTCCGATTGCAAAGGGTTACATACGTATCGATCGTCCAGTCCTCAAACACGTCCGATGATCGATACGCATCCATTGTTGTGCGATCTTTACGATCGTTACGATCGGACGACCGAACATGCGCCCTTTGGCAGTTCCTTTGTGGTTGGAAGAAAGTGGAACTAGGAGCCAAGCAAAACGACATTTGGGCCTATCTCTTCATTTCTTTGTCACTTGCGCCCCACCAGGTACCGCAATTTCCGTGCTCAAGTGCAAAATTTAGCACTGATTAAATCAGGTTTGGGGTAAATACACTGCGTTTATCTAGCACTCTGCAGAGGTATGAATGACCGCCGTTATCGAAACCAGACAAAAAGGAAAATGAAAGGCTCATGAGACAGCATCCAGTACCATCGAGAATCTGGTACAGAATGCTCTTCACCATCCCCTTGGGAACCATCACTGGCATTTTCTTCGCTTTCGCCCCTCGATGATATTTGATGATATGCCACAGGTCATGCTCAGCGTAATCGAGTAACAACCAAACCTGAAAATGAAAATTAATGAATAGATACCACTAAGACTGACATGGAGAGCACACTTTAAAAATCATACTTCAAATCAAGAAATCATAAAAAGCACCAACCTCAGAAGACTTACCTTCTTTTCATTCGTGAGAAAAACTCGCTGCAAGCAGATGAGGTTGGGATGTCTAAAATAGTCAGAACAACATTCGCGAAAACCACATTCTTATTTCAGCCATAATTTAATACTACTATATTTGAAGGTAGCTCTCGCGATAAGTTAATATTGATGCAGTGTGAAAGTATAGGTAGCGAACGATGAGTCTGTTCAAAATCTTCCACGGAAAAAGCTCCGCCTCCATTACCACAGAAAAACGATACCCCTTAGGCCCTAGCCTCATGAGCATAGCAAAAAGAACGGAACATAAGCGTTAGTTTCGATAATACTAATCCTACACACAAGACAAAATGATCACTCTTTCCGTGGAAGATTCCTTTAAGGTATCGTTTTCTGTGGTAATGAGGGCGGAGCTTTTTCCGTGGAAGATTCCTTTAACTTTTCCGAACAATCCCTACAGCTGTGAACGGCCAAAAACCCGAAAAGGGGCCCTCCCTACGGCCGTTGATTTCGGAAGTGAACAAGTTTATGGCTCCCCCACTTTCTTCACACTGGGGCGCGACCGCGGCGAGCGCGGACGAGTTGATAGTTCCCGCGAACTAAGCCGATGGAATGTTTTCAAACCTACCCGCACAGTTCGCGGTCACTACCAACTCGTCCGCGCTCGAAGTGTGAAGAAAGTGGGAGAGCCATAAACTTGTTCACTTCCGAAATCAACGGCCGTAGGGAGGGCCCCTTTTCGGGTTTTTGGCCGTTCACAGCTGTAGGGATTGTTC